CTCATAACTTTGTACAAATCGAAATTAGCACATACGGATCGAACAAACGTAGAGCTCGTTTAGAACTGTTTTTAAATTTGTTGAAAGCATGTTTTGTGGAAATATTTTTTAAACCAATCTTTAGTAAACACTTGAAGTGTTTTTGGAACCTAGAAACATTTTTTCTCTTCTAAAAATGCTTTGTTATTTTAAAAGCGTTTCCAAACAAGTTCGTAGTTGATAATAATTTGATTTCCTTGCACTAACAACAAAATATTTCAAACAAGATGACAAACACAAAAACTAAAAAAATAAAAAATTTTGATTGCATGTGTATATTTTGAGTTTATATGTATTTCTTCTTAGGATTTTTATGTGATTATAACAATATGTTAAGCACTTTCGACGTTTGCTTAATTATGAACTTTTAATAGGTAGGATTTAAAGGGTACTATCCACACACTTATATTTATTTTTCACACACTTTTTTCAATGTTCGATCGACAGATCAAATGAATTGAAGAAGATCAATGGACCAAAATTAACAAAGATGAGCGGAAGGTAAAAAACGGTACTGCTATTACTATTTAAAAAGAAAAATAAATTTAGAAAAATCAACCAAAGACTATTGTTGGATGGATAATCTATCTGTATGCAGGTCATTTGCAGCTTAGAAGAAGATCCAGCAGAAAATAGGACGGTCCGAAGATTTAGTAGTCCCTAGGTCATATCCAAAAATGGGGCACTCTTTATACTCACACCTAAATACTTACTCAATCGTCACTTAATACTACATTTTAGTAGTATTCCTCTTTACTTGTAAATGAGAGGTCTATTGTTTGATTCTCGCCAAAGGCGAATTTGAACCACATTATTGCTAACCCATTATGAGCCTAAGCAAACCCATCTACCTTAGTGTAGATAATATTGTTTGTTAAAAAAAAAAAAAAATTCTTACTCGATTTTTTTTATTGAAGCAGGATTAACAAATTTTTTTATTAAACTTGTTTATACCATATTTAGGGCCTCCGTATTTAGATCTCGTACAAATACTCGGGGGACTTAAATGTAATTATGTGATAAAGGAAGGGGCAAATATGTAATAAGTGAGGATCCCTTATTCTATAAAAGGACTCCTCACCCTCACAATTAGAGGAGGCCATTTCTGAAGCCTTCTCACCCCTCTCACATCTCCTCTCATTACAGAGGTTATCTCTCTCCATCAGATAAATACATAATCAGTGTGGACGTAGCCCAAACCTTAGGGTGAACCACGATACATCTTGTGTTATTTACTTTACTTGCAGATTCACGATCGGATTTACGTTGTTCCAAGACCTCCGGTTTTGTGCATCAACATTTGGCGCCGTTTGTGGGAAGTGGTGCCTCTTCGGAATCCAGAGAGTGGTGCCTCTTCGATTTTTGAACCAACGACCATGTTGCCCTTTCTTTTATAAGGGCACCAATTGTGTGCAAGAAGTACATTCAGAGAGTTATTGCTTGTAGGAATTTTCCCTTTACTTCAGAGATTTATTGCACCTCATTTCTCCTTCATCATTTCTGAGAATGTCTGGCCCATCCGACCATCGTTTTGACTTGAACTTTGGTGAAGAGGCAGCCATGCCTTCTCAAGACAACATATGGCGCTCATCCTTCTTATCCCCTACTGGTCTTATTACCGTTAGGGACTCCTACTATAGGGTTTGTATCGCACTTGACCAAGTCCGAAACTACAAGTAAGCTTCAAGTGAAATTGATACATTTCCTTGTGCATCTTCATCGGTTAAAGATACCACCCCTGGATGGAGGAAAAGTACTTCCAGAGAAGATGCCACATTTACATATGAGACAGATAAGACAAGTGAAAATGATACCACACTTCGGTACTTAGAAGTTTCGTGATTACTCAATAGCTTGGATATTGCAAGTCCCCAACCGAGGAGCTTCCCTCACTCGGGAACTTAGGGGAGCGCTGTTTGTACCATACTTGACCAATCCCGAAACTACTGAGCACCGGTCAACATTATACCGTCAATGACCCATAAGAGTTTCCCTCAAACCAGGAGGCCAATCACAGCGCGACATGTGTTGACATCAGAAGCCAATCATAGCGTGACACGTGTCAACATCAGAAGTCAATCACAACACGACACGTGTCAATGTCAGAATGAAACTAGAAACTCTCTTCTATAAATAGAGATCATTCTCTCACAATATTCCTAATGTCATTTGTACTAAATCATTCACTTGTACTCACTAAAGGAGAGCTTGAACCTATGTACTTGTGTAAACCCTTCACAATTAATGAGAACTCCTCTACTTCGTGGACGTAGCCAATCTGGGTAAACCACATATATCTTGTGTTTGCTTCCTTATCTCTATCCATTTACATACTTATCCATACTAGTGACCGGGGCAATCTAGCGAATGTCACAAACTTAACACTTTCTGTTTGTACCAAAGTCCTCACTGATTTTGTGCATCAACAAAACTTAAGAGAAAAAGACGCAAAAAATAAAGATTTTATAAAGACTAACATCATCTCTACCTCTCTCTTAGATACTAAAAATTAAGAATTTTGTTTGAATGAAGAAAAACTATATTATTTATTTATTTATTAAGAAAGAAAGTGTGAAACGGTTTAGGGTTCTGCTGTCTTTACCTTTAATCTAACCCTAGGAAAAGCACTACTAGAAACTCAGGAGTATGACTCTCTTCCCTCGTAATTAATCCCTTCTTCTTCCTTCTCCTCGTCTCTCACTCGTTTTTATAATTTTCTCACTATAGGAAAGTCAACACAAGACGTTGACTTGATTTAATTATGATACAGCTCAAATAAGGGGAAGAAAAAATGTAAAAGAGGGGAATTTTGAGAGGCAAAAATCATACTCCATAAACTCAAGGGCGCAAACCCTAGCAATAGCCATTAGAAAGGGGAAGATATTTTTGTGGATCTCGAAAGCGCAAAAATAACCACAAATTTTAATTATTATTTTTCTGCGCAGATTTTAATTATTTTGGATTCATATATTTTTGTATATTTTTATTTGTGCATGCAAATTGGAGAAACAGAAGTTGAATACTCAAAGCAACAGATCGTGTCGTAAGCTTCTGGCTTTCTCAGAGAATTTCCAACTGTGCAACACATGCATGCGTTATCCACACGGTAATATACGTACGTACTAGATATATAATTTTTTCGTGCCATTTAACGCAGTAATCAAATTGATTAGAGTGTAAACATTACAATTTGCATATGACGAACAAACTTTCTTTTAACAATTATACGTGTGTGTGTATATTAATTGATGCTGATACGTATAACTTCAAATGTTTTAGAAATTGTCAATGATATATACTCTCAATTTTACGCATATTATGCATGAGTTTATTAACATGTTAAAGATAAAATGCACAAAGAGATAAAATATAACCAGTCGCTAAAGTTTTTTTGGTGACAACCTTCGAACGATTTTCATTGCTAAAGAGGGTGTTCATATTTTTAACGACTGTTTCTAGATAATTATTTTGTCTAACAGTTTATTTTATTTGGAAGAAAAATGTAAAAGATAAAATAGGGGCAACTTATATGGTTATCTAGCTGGTAGGCTATGAAAAATAGTAAATTATTTTGTGTTTAATTTACTACATTGCTCATAGCTTTTACTTTGGTTATTTTTCTTTAGTTTGTTGATAAGGTTAATTTGACCCATAAATTTTGTTTTGATTATTTTCTTTAGTGTGTTGATAAGGTTAATTTGATTTTTTTTTCACCATCTTTTGATTGACAAAAATAATTATATTCATAGGTGGTTTGTATCACCTCTCTAATAGAAGTAAGACCCATCAATACATGTGGGGTCTCATCTCTATTAGAGAGGTTGCACAAATATGGTATGAAAAATGTGGTTTGAGTAACATTTTTACGTATAAACGCTTCAACCTAATGCAACAATGGAAAGGATAATGTGAGAATATATGTGAGAGTAAAGTCTTACATTGGTGAGGGACCAAACCATGTAAGGACTTATAAAGAGTTGGGCTACTCCCATATTGTCAATTGCTTTATGAAGAAAGTAATCCTCATATTCCCAATTGATTTTATGAAAAATGTTGATGTTGTACCATAAAACCAATCGGTAATATGGAGAGCAGCTCAACTCCTTATAAGCTCTTGCATACTTGGTCCCCCACCGATGTGAGATTTTGTTCTTATATTCTCACACACCCACTCACGTGTAGGGAATTTTCTAGCCTAACACGTGGACAACAAAGTTGGGTAACGTGGAGAAAGTGAGGTCATTTGGCATTACACATGGGCCAACCTGGCTCTGATACCAGAAGAAAGTTGAGGTTCCATCAGAAAACCAATTAGCAATATGAGGAGTAACCTAACAAAGCCCTTGCATGGTTTGGTCCCTCACTAATGTAGAACTTTGTTCTCACATTCTCATACGTCCCCTCACGTGTGACGAATTTTCTAGCCTAACACTGATGTAGGACTTTGTGATTGCGGACTATGAGTCTCTGAACATCCAATGCTTAGTTTTCGAACACTCATTCGATGCCCGCAATCGAACCATACTCTATATGTGTATATTAATTTTTACATAAACAACATACATATATGTAGTCCTTTCAATTTAATTTTTTTCTGAAAAAATATCTCTATTAGCTAACTTACGCACATGCATGTTTCTGGTTTCAATTTTCGACAAAAAAATTTTGGTTCAAGATATCTTTTAACATTATGCTTACGTAGGAGGGTACGTATGTGTATATGTTCGCTGATACATATAAAATTTTATATACAGATTTTATTCTACACAAAGCCCAACCAATTAAAAGTCATGCATGCAGATAAGTATGTATCATGGATAACAATATGCATGCTTAAATATACTAATTAAACGAGTTAAGGTTAAATGCTCTCTACTAATGCTGTTTAACTACAGTAATATTGCTGGGAAAAAATATATGGTCTCCCTCTATAAAAACCCTAGCTACCCATTATCTCTGATTATCTTGCCTAACTGCCTATCTCTCTCTCTCCCTCTCTCCCTCTCTGCCTCTCTCTCTCTCTCTCTCTCCCTCTCTCTCTCTCTCTCTCTCTCCAGAAACGCACAAACACAAAAACAAAATGGATAAAAAACCATGCAATAGTTCATCCCAGGATGTTGAAGTGAGAAAAGGGCCATGGACCATGGAAGAAGATTTGATTCTCATCAACTATATTGCAAATCATGGTGAAGGTGTATGGAACTCCCTAGCCAAATCTGCTGGTAATTAACATGTTTGATCCCTTATGTATATTTCAAACCCTAGCTAGAACGTACAATTTCCTATTTTAGAACTACATGTCCACATATTATAAAGATGTCACTAGCTAGGTGTATATTATGTTACTAGGTCTCAAACGTACTGGGAAGAGCTGCCGGCTCCGGTGGCTGAATTATCTGCGGCCTGATGTTCGGAGAGGCAACATCACACCTGAGGAACAACTTCTGATTATGGAACTGCATGCAAAGTGGGGTAACAGGTGATCATCACTTGCTAGTTTTATTCATAGAATCTAAATATACATATAAAATATTAATGTAAGTACATTATAAGTATGCTGATAATTTAACGACAAGGACATATACATATGATTTGATAAGTTGCGAGTCTTATGACCGACTATTCTACTTCTCCTCGTCATCTTTTTAATTTGGAGGACCAAGTAGGTTTTCTTCGTTTTAATTCATAGGGCTTTGACCACTCTCTCTGTCTCTGTTCCTTTTTTGTTCTTTTCGGTTGCAATATTAGAGGGTTTCGAATCCTAGATGTAACCTACTACTCTCTTCACCAAACATTGTCCCTCTCTCATGTGTTATAAGATATATATATATAGAGATATATATATATATATATAGATATATATATATATATATATATATTTATATATGGGTTGCTGGAGGCTTGTTACAAATCATTGCAGTGGACGTATCCTCCAACTAGTGTAAATATATATCAGCTGATTGTTAGATATGTGTCAAGGGCAATATCAAACATGGCTTACAATCCGTTTTAATTCTCCATGATAATTTTAGATATCTCCAGGCTAGCTAATAAACTGAGAAGGAAAAGTAATTGATCATATTTTCTCTTATTATTGGTGTACCGTCTTCAACATGTCTTTGATTGAGTGGGTTTCCATGTATTGGAACCCGAATTCTTATATATGTATGCATTTGGAAAATACTTTAAAACCCGAATTTCTTTTTTAAAAATAAAAATGGAGAGTCTAATTCTCTTGTATTGGATGGACCCATGAAATTGTGGGGGTAAACCATGTAAAAATAAATAAGTTTTTTCTTAAAATAAAAAAATTCCCCTCTTGTGACTTGTTCAATATCGAGACGAATTGACATGAAAAAATCATTGAGGTGAAATGACAAAAAAAAAATTAAATAAATCTCGATAACCCATTTGGGATTTAACCCCCTGCTGAGGATAGATGACGTGATGAGTAGTGTACAAGTAGGCCAGAGATTCAGAGTTCAAAACTTTTGTGACAAAAAAAAATTTGCATCGAGATGAATTGTTTTGATAATGAAAAGACGAACGAGCTGTTAAACTTGGTAATAAAGTTAAAAATAATTAGAATGTTCTTCTGTATTATGAATAAATCTAAATCATTATATGATAAAGTCCAAAGATTTGGAAACTGTTTGTGTATGTGGAAAGAAAAGTGGATTAGGATTCTCTCTCATCCAATTCTCATTCCCTTTCATCCCCTCTTCTCACACTTTTCCCTGTCTTTTTCTCTCTATAAAAAATTCAACACAAGATGTTGACATAGCTTAATCGTAAACCTACAAGTATGAGGGAAGAGAAAGGGGGGGAGGGGAGAGAATTAGAAGGGGAGAGAATCATATACTCCAAGAAAAATACCTTAAACTAGAGATGTGGTGGTGGACTTGACTTGTGATACATTGAAAGGAATGCAGTTTGGTGAACTCGAACCAAAAAATTATTTGGAGCAATAAAAACCTTCCATTTATAGGTAAACCCCAGTCAGTTTCTCACATGCCAACCCTAGTTACCTAGCTTTCATTCTGAAGAAGACGACAAAACTTTTGCTTTGCTTGAAGCGGACGTGAACCATACTGTTTTGGCCGCTTAGGGCAACCGCTGGGCCTCCCACCCTTTATATTTCTGATCGTACTACTAATATGCATGGAGGCAGCGCTCGCAACAATAGCTTTCTGCTAAGAAATTAATCATAATTGGACAGCTAGTCAAAGAGTTAAAAATCTCAAATAATAGTTACTAATTCTAGAAGCATGGCTAGGTAGGACAGTAAATTATAGTTATACTAAAATAGTGATTAGATATATATATATATATATATTTGTATATCGATCAATATATGTTAACCTACGCTAAACGGAATAATACTGTGTGGAAGAATTTTTCTCCTACATTTGGCCCAGTTTTCTGCCAAATGAGAATATTTTTTTTTTTCGACCCCTTCGCCTGATTATGGATAAAAGTATATATTTATGGACCAAAGGGAACCTTATATTTATATATATGTATATATAAGTATATAAGTATGATATTATCCATAAGAAAGAATAATGGGATTAGATGATGATTATATCATTAAGAATACCTTATATACAAAGATTCTGAGCTTTCCCTTTGAAGATCGAAGGAACTGGAGGAGTTTGCAAGATCTGTGTGTGTGTGTGTGTGTGTATAATATATGCATATACACGTACGGAAAGTAAATGATTCTGTGTTTTTCTAGATGACGAAGTTTTTGTGTATCTTGGTCTGCCTTATATATAAATAAAAGGAGTCCAGTAGGGACTTGTAGGACTTTCATTCTCACCCATAGAACATGCATGACTTGGAATTTTTACCAATACTTAACTGCAGAGAAGTATTCTTTTAAGTACTCTGTGTGTGTGTGTGTGTGTGTGTATATATCTACACAAAACACCAAGTTGCAGGTAATAATTTAGGGTTAGGGTTTATTGCATTAATTGATTATGTTTATAGCAGCTTTTTTCATGTTGTTCTAGTGAGCGTTCTTTCTAATAGGAGATTTAAGCTTAATTAAGACAGCTTTTTCCTTCTGGGATTGTTTAGTTAGCAACTACTATAGCAGTACAAGTACTTGTCCAATCATTTATTGGGGTAGCTAGCTTTAACTTTGGCACGTTGTAATATTTATCTTTGACAGTTTATTGCAATATTCAGGTGGTCGAAAATCGCAAAACATCTACCGGGACGGACCGATAACGAAATCAAGAACTATTGGAGGACTAGAATTCAAAAACATATTAAGCAAGCTGAGAATATAACACCAGGACAAAGCTCTGAGGTGAATGATCAAGCTAGCACAAGTCAAGTGTCCATCTCTAACACTGTGGACACGATGGATATTTCCCACTCCGCACCAACATACCAAGCAAATATGGATGCTTATCCTCCTCCGTTACCTGCTGATCAATCTAATGAAAGCTATTGGAGCATGGAGGATCTCTGGTCTCTGCAATTGCTAAATGGAGAGTAATTAAACAACCGATTTCATATATTATATATGATCCAAATTCTTAATTTGGATCATTAATTATTAGGTTTGTCCATATGAAAACTTAGTATATATATTCATATATATGTTTTTTTTCTTAAATATGTATACTATATATAAAATATAATATATGGTTTTTATATATACGTAATTCTAATAAGTTTGTAATTGGAAATTAATCTTTTCCATTTCCTCTTCTCTACATGGCATAAACGAGAGTACTGGGAATATATATATATATATGTACCTTATTCTCGTTTTAAAAAAAATGGCAATAGCCATTTAACACAAGTTGCACGGAATGAGGTGGAAAAAGAGTATATCGGTGGCTAAATGAGGGAATAAAAGTTGTATATCAGAAGCTAATAGGTTACTAGCCACTGAGATCTTTTACTCGTCTTATCATGTGCAACTAATGTTAGTGATTAGTATCAGAGATTTTCTAGTCTACGAACTGAAAACTGTATTGATGATAGAGACTTGTAAACTTGTATTTATTATTCTTATTTACTAATAAGCTTTATTATTTAGTTGAGTTGATCACACGGCTTTTACTTAGGCTGAGTTTGCACATGAAAATTGGAAGTGGTGATGAGATGACAATGAAGATTCGAAGAAAGAAAGGATGAAGATACGTACGTACACATATAGCCATGATACGATTGATACAGCAAAAGAACCGCTGGGAAATCGACACGTGGAAAGCTAATATAACTACTCTTGTCAGATTCCGTCCCAGCTTTCCAAAGTTGTGCATGGCCATGCAAAACTGATGTTCGACGTGAGCCTAACTTGCACCCATGGCCACTGCAAGCAAGTTTTCACATGCCCCTTATTAATTTCCATATTTTCCCTACAAATACTTCTAATTTCTTAAATATTTATGGTATCTACCAGTCCAACGTGCTACCACATGGCAATTCTCATCCACATATATTTTATAATTAATATATAGTAATTAATCTGTTTTTATTTTGTTTTTTTTTGTTGAAGAAATACAAATTACGTAAACTGTTTGAAATATTAGTATATATAGTCTTGAATCTTGATTCATAGTTTGCTTTCTTTATATATAATTCTGTTCAAGATCTAAATCAATAATCTGGTTTCTTTAGTTTTTTTTGGGTCAACATGGTTAGGTTTCATCATTATGAATTATTATCAAATTTTAAATATTTTCATGTTGATTTTAATTAAGGAACTATAAGCATGTACATATATGTTCTATTCTTTTTTGGATATTTTGGTAGCTTTATATGATTAGTCGACATGCTTCTTCAGGGGAGATCGTATTAGTACGACATTAGTTTAATCCATTCTTTAATTAACAAATTTTGAGTTTTGTGCCTTTCTGAAACCGTATTAGTGCGATATTAGTTCAATCCATTCTTTAATTAACAGATTTTTTGTTGCGTGCCCTTCAATAACAGTTCAGTGATTTTATGTTGTGTGCCTTTCAAAGAAATATCTCAGAAAAGAACCTCAAGGGTCCATTCCTTCGACTTTGCGTTGCCGAATATGGCAAATATAATCGAGGACATATCTTTGGTTATCGCAAAAGGTCATAGGAAAAAGAACTTCATCTCTCAGCCATTCATTTTTATCATCACATGTTTTATTTGCGCAATTAAAATTGGTTGCAAAGCACAAAAAATAAAGATCACGTGGAAGATGGGAAACTTCACATGTTGGGTCGGCCATGAATGTAGAAAAAATTAACATGGGTGATTGGTTTCATGTTGAAAACAAAATATCCTTGCTAGCTTAGTCCATGAAATCATAATGTAGTTTTTGTTAATTAATTAACTAATGGGCCTTTTTGGGGTTCACTATAACTTCTCCAATCCAAAAAAGGTTTCAACTGAAGTGCTATTTGATTATCGATGGCCTGCAAAGGGGTCATGGTTCTGAAATTAGTGTATAAATTAATGGATTTGGATGTTGATGAGCCCAAAAACTAGCCTACATATTTCTGATTTGTGAATTATGAAGTAATGAAGTTGTCATGACACTCCAGAATATGTTGTTCAAGTGCAATTCTCCCTAAATTTTGTAAACTAGTACGTAATTTGATATTTTTAGAGAGCCAATAACAGTTCTAATGTGAAATAATTGAAAGTTAATGGTGGCCGACAATATTTGTGAATTTTGGAGCAATGAATATAGAACTATAAAACATGTCATGATGCACTCGTTCCAGTGCAGTTTCTCACTAAATTTTCTAAAGACAATGTGTAATCTGACATTTTTAGAGCTCCAATAGCAGCTCGAATGTGAAATGGTTTAACGAAAATCAATGGTGCTGACAACGGATAAAGATGCATGTATTAGAAAAGTATGTGATTCCTTGATGAACACTAGTGAACATGTGAGGGAGGGATTATGAAGTTGCAAAGCCCAAAATAGACTACAATTTTGTGATTTGTGGAGTGATTAAGTTGTTATGGTACTAAGAAAAATTGCTGTAAAGCACACGTTCAAGTGAAATTTCTTTCTAAATTTTGATATGACAAAGTGTAATATGATATTTTTGAAGTTTTAACGAGAATTTTAGTGTTAAATGTAATGAAAGTTAGTGGTGCCGACAACGAATATGGATATCATTATTTAAAAAGTTATGTGATTCCATGATGATCACTCGTGAACATGTGAGGGATGGATGATGACAAATCGTATGAAATTGGATGAAAGTGAAAGTACTTGTTCATCAAGGAAAGAAGGTCGGCATTGAATACGTAATGAAAATTTGTGCAACCGGGATGTTGCCCCGATTGGAGGTTAACTTTCGTTTTCTATTAATTTCATATGCAACAACCAATCCTCCTAATTTATTTCTTATATCACGTACAAGGAAATATTGGACTACCGACATCTTTAAAACGTTATATTGTCAGATTATTAATCTGAACTATGATCATTAAGATTGGTCTGAAACTTTGTCTTGCCAAATAATTTTTAAAACATTATTTGTCAAATTATTAATCTTAACTATGAGCATTAAGATTGGTCTGAAACTTTATCTTGACAAATAATTTTAAAACAATAGATTGTCGGATTATTAATCTGAACTATGACCATTCAGATTGGTCTGAAACTTTGTCTTGCCAAATAAATTGCCGATTCAAAATCTAAATCGTGAAGTTGTGAACAAATACAATATTGCCTTAATTCACAGTCTTGCAACATTAAATCACATATTTATTGTAAAGAAATAGGTTCACATAAGTGATCATGTTAACCATTTTAGTGATAGTTAATAAATTTAATACCTTCTTGTTACCGTCGAATAACTTTATCAACTTGACTTTGATAAATCTATATTGGATTAAACCATCATGATTAATAAAAATAAAAAAAAGACTGATGTAAGGAAAGATTGAAGACATAGGTTATTCTTTTTTCATATTTCATATTGTAAAATCAGTAATTAAAACTTATTCCAAACACGTTTACCAAGGCAATTGGACACCAACTAGAGGACTCATTAAAAACATGACCCATGCTTGAAAGACTTGTCGAACTAGTACAGTTCCATTGTTTTCCGTCCCATCCCGCGTATCAAATACACTTGAGTGGAAAGACTTGTCTAATTTTTTTTTAAAAATGATATTCATCCACTTTTTTTTTCTCACTTTTTACAGACGCTTATTATTTTTTTCCTTTTAATTTTTTTATTATTTATATTTCTTTCGATTGGAAGACATGAAATAAACAAGAGAAAAATAAGGTGTTAAATTCAAAAAACAAATAATGTGTTAAAATTAGGCTTTTTTTTATTAGCACCCCACATTAAAATTTAATATTAAATGACTTATTTATCCCACTATGCAATGACAATTTTGACCTTATTAGGTTTTTAAAAAATAAAATAAAAATCTCTAAATCACCCCAAATCACTAAACCCTATTATTTATCTTCTCAACTATCAAAACCCTCCCACCCTCCATTGTTGAACAAAACCCTAACCAATGAAACTACAAACACGTTGATTGAGAAAAATTGCTTTTGACGAATGGGTTGAGTGATGCAGGTGAAGCTTTGTTTTAGGACCATCTTGGAGAAGTATTGTTTGTTGAGCTGCCAGAAAATGGTCACTCAGTATCTCAAGGGGGCAGCTTTGGATTGCCTTTCCAGAATGTTGAGGAGGTCATTGAAATTAAACTATGTGAAACATTATTTGATAATTTTGTCATATGAATTTGAATTGGTATTTTGATTTTTTTTCACAACTTTTGGAACGACGAGATGGGACTACCAAGTCCAGAGGTCGGATGGTCATCTAAGGTGCTGTTAGTCTTGCTCTCCAAATGACTCTCATGAATGTGAACCTTGATCAAAGATACAAAATATTTGAGCATATTTGAGCAGATAGTTTTTCTGGTAAAGGTTTCCACCTATTTTACTTTATAGATACACTTAACAGTCTTTATAAAGCATTGATTTTTATAGAGTCGGTTGAGATGAAACCTATTCTGAAACAACTTCTTTTGAAGGTTCTTTGAAATTTCTACAGGTATTTTTGGAAAAAAGAGTGATATGTCAGCATAGTCATGGTATATGACAATGATAATTTGAAGAACCATTTTAAGTATTTTGGTAATCAGCATACTTAAATTTGAATGTGATATATCCGTTTAGTTTTTTGTACACAATGACAATACTCAAGTATAATTTACATCATATATCTTTTGAAGTACATGAAACTATGAAGAAAAAACCCTAATTAATCTGATTATGGGGGTTTTGTTTTATATTAAGATATTGCAGCAGAAGGCAGACTTTGAAGAGTTTACGCTGCACAGAAAGATGATGAAATGCTACCCATTGAATCCATCGTTGCTCCACTGGAGGCGAAGCTTAAGCTTGCTGCAGGAGGTATACTTTTGTTCTGCAATATGACCCCTTTAATTTGTTTGTACATGGGAGGTATAGAGTGTTCAATGTGTATTTGGTTTCCATATTGTTTATGGATCTATCGACTCATTTATTACATGAATCAATAATTGTAATGAGTTAATTTTTTTTTACATGAGCACAATCAAGTTGTTTACACCTGAACTCATGATAAAATTTATGGACCTGCCATTATGTACACATATGAATCTGCTAATAGTGTTCAGTTTTTTACTTAGTCTTTTCTTTTTATTAATTTGTGGATCAATTTTAGTTGCTAATCATTGTTGGAAAGGTTAATTAGTCCCATTACTTAAAATGGGTGTGCTAAATTGTGGTTACGATTTTAAACTCGCAGCAGAGCGCGGGTTTCTTTGCTAGTTTATCCTAAAACTATACTCGAGCTCCACCTTATTTGGAATCTCAAATGCCTTCTCAATTTGATTTCATCATAAACCGAAACTTGCATTGTGAATCACAACTTTTCAACCTTGTACAGCAAGCACAATCTCTGAGACCGAGTGAAAAAAGCACTTCTTGTGGAGGAATATAAGGAGTATATTGAGAAATGTGGGGTGTATG